CCCTTCGGCAAGCTCTCTTCCCCGTCTTCCGCTCCGGCTAAAACCTCTTATCTTGCTTTGGTTGATGCTTCTACCGCGGAGCGCGCTTTCTCTTCTTCTCCGACTCCACCACCTCCTCTTCCACTTCCGCCCGCCCTCCCCGCTCCGCACCAGCGCTTGCTTTTGTCCGGCGGTAAGGAGGACATCGATGCGCTCGCTCTGCTTGAAGACAGCGTGAAAAGACTGAAGAGCCCCAAAGCCTCTCCCCGTCCTGCACTTCCCAAACACTTGTCTGAAGCTGCTCTCTCCCTCCTTGCCGACTGGTTTCTCGAAGCCGGCGGCGCCGCTTCTCCTTCCTCCCTCTCCCACCCAAAGCTTCAATCTTTTCTCCACCAAATCGGTCTCCCCGTCCTCTCCCCACGCCACATCACTGGCCCGCTCCTCGAGTCCCGCTTCCGCGACGCGCGTGTAGATTCCGACACTCGAGCCCGCGACGCCGTTTTCTTCCAGCTTGAATCAGCCGGATGGAACTCTGCTGACGAAGATACCCAGAGCTTAATAAGCGTCGCAGTGAACCTCCCAAATGGAACCACCGCCCTCCACCGCGTGATGATCATCTCCGCTCGCGCTCCTTCCGATTACGCTGAGGAAGTACTCCTCAACGCCATCGAAAGTATCACCGATGGCGATACCAGCCAACGGTGCGCCGGTATCGTCGCCGATCGATTCAAGTCCAAAGCCCTTCGACGCCTCGAGACAGAGCACAAATGGATGATCAACCTCCATTGTCAGCTCCAGGGCTTCCATAACCTAATCAAAGACTTCGCCAACGACCTTCCTCTTTTTCGTTCCACTGCCACCGATTGTTCCAGACTCTCATCATTTTTCAATACGAACACATTAGCTCGTGCCTTGCTTCACAAACACCAGCTCCAAGATCTCAACCACAGCCACCTCCTACATTCGAGTCCACCTTCAAGCTCCTTCGAGTCCGTTTTCGCAATGCTGGAAGATGTAATTAATTCATCCCATTCTCTTCAGTCTGCAATAAATGAAAATGAATTCAAGCTACTCTGCATCGACGACCCGACCGCCAGAGAACTAACAGAGATGATCGGAAATGTTCGGTTTTGGACAGAATTGGAAGCAGTTCGCTCACTTGTGAATCTTGTCAAGACAATGGGCGCCGAAATGGAGGCCGAGCGGCCAGTGGTTGGCCGATGTCTGCCTTTATGGAATGAACTACGGATCAAAGTGAAGGACTGGCGAGCAAAATTCAATTTTGAAGAACACGCCGTCGAACACATCGTCGAGCGGCGGTTCAAGAAGGAGTACCACCCGGCTTGGTCGGCGGCTTTCATATTGGACCCTTTGTACCTATCAAAGGATGCAAGCGGCAAGTACCTCCCACCGTTCAAATACTTGACGCCGGATCAGGAGAAGGACGTTGACCGATTGATAACTCGACTGGTGTCACGCGAAGAGGCTCACATTGCTCTAATGGAGTTGATGAAATGGAGGACGGAGGGACTGGACCCGCTCTACGCTCAGGCAGTGCAGGTGAAGCAGCTCGATCCTGCGACGGGGAGGATGAAGGTGGTGAACCCGCAAAGCAGCCGTTTGGTGTGGGAGACGTGCCTCAGTGAGTTTCGGTCGTTGGGAAAAGTGGCGGCGAGGCTTATTTTCCTTCATTGCACGGCATATCGTGTTCGGTGCAGTGCGTCGCTGCTCCGACTGGGTAGGCGGTCGCCGGCCGCAGCGGAGCGGGTGGAGAAGATGGTGTTTGTGGCGGCGCATGCGAGGTTTGAGAGGAGAAGCTTCTCGAATGAGCAGGATCCCGAGATCTTTGGAGAAGAGGAGGATGTCTCAGCAGAGGCCTCTTCAGTGTAATTTTAATTTTAAAATTTTATTTTATTTTTTGTTCAGATTTAAATGTTTCTCTTAGATCTTTAGTTGTATCCATGGTGTAGGGATTCGATCGTTCGGTTTTAGTATTTTGTTTTGGATTCTTTGTATGGATTCATGTCTTATTGTTTGTTATTTTTGTTCAATTTACATTGAGGTCTAAGTTGGTGAAGAGCTGCGGGAAATGAATCAGGAGTGCTTGCATGGATTCAGTTGATACATGAAGACTGGTTTCATATTTCCATTTCTGCAGCCTTTTGTTCACTTCATAATTTAATATCAAATCAACACAAGTTTCATTTTCCTTTTCTTTTTTCTGTCATCATCATTTCTGTGCGTCTAATGTAGTTGAAATATTAGACTGGTGAAGTGTCATTTTTTTCTTTTAAAAGAATAGCAACAACATTATGAAGTTTAAAATGAGCTCGGGGCTTCGATATTTATCATTTAAACATACATTCACGCAAATTTAAATTCTAATGGCGTTGTTTCTATTTTTTCTTGCACTAAATGTTATCTTTTTATAAGAATAGCAACAATATTATGAAGTTTAAAATGAGCTCAGGGCTTCGATATTTATCATTTAAACATACATTCAGGCAAATTTAAATTCTAATGGCGTTGTTTTTATTTTTTCTTGCACTAAATGTTATCTTTTTATGAAAGAACCACCAAAATATTTTGAATTTAATTGCACCATCCTCGTATAAACAAGTGCGTATAAGCTTATTACAAAATGCCAACATTCTTGGTATACTTAAATTTAGTTCAGTATGAAAATATTTTTCTTAGTTACAGAGTAAATATTAATATTTTGTGAAACAAAATATTTTATTTAATAAAAATAAAATAAAAATATAAGTATGAATTGAAAAAATTTTTGGTAATAATTAATTCACCTAATTTTAAAAACTTGCACAACACATAACTATTCACTAAAAATGTTTGTCTGAAAAAATATTTCTCTTTAAAAAAATCAATATTGTTGTTGTTCTTACATGATGTTAAGATTCAAACGTTATATAAATTAGAAAATAAAAATTATGTGTCAAATATGTATATATATGAGAATTACACGTTATGTATAGAAATCCAAAAATTTGCCCGCCAAAATATAATTGAGCTTTATTTTAAATAATAATAATATTATTATTATTATTAACTCGTTTGTTTTTTTTTTCTATCAAAATAAAAATGAACATAAGAAAATGAAAAAAAAAGGAAAAAGAATGTAAAGTTAATTTTTGTTATGAAGAAATACATATTTTCAAGTAGGGGTGTAAACAAGCTGAACATGAGCGAGCTCAGACCCAGCTCGTGTTCGTCTCGTTTATATTTCGAGCTCAAAAGGTGTGTTAGTGTTGGGTTCGTTTGCTTAGCGAGCCGAACACTAGCCTTTCAAGAACAAAGAGTTATTTTGATAACCCTAATCACATAGTCATAAGATGTTAAGGATTGTAACAAGATTTAAAACATCATTTGAATCTAATTTAATAATTTTTATTCAATGTTCTTCATTAATATTTTTAATTGATTATAAATCTTTGTAGTCTTGTAATCAATTAAATTTTAAAAAAATACAAATAATTGATTAGTAGTATTTCGAGCCAAAACGAGCCGAACACGAACAAACATATAAAAATACTATCTTTGTAGCCGTTTGTGTTATTCATGTTTGGCTCGCTAACTTAGCGAACGACCCGAACATGAGCTTCTTAACGAGCTGAACACGAGCTGTCCGAAAACAACGATCAGTTTTGACAGCCTGAATTCCAAGCCATGCTCTTTCACCTGGCACAAATAACATTACCAATTTTTATTAAAAAAAAAAAAAAAGAAGCCATGCCCATGCATCTAACGTTCTAAAATTTTAATAGGCTTATAGACCTCCATGAATGCGTCATTGTTCTCGCCCTCACGCAAAGGGCAACCGTCGGCAAGTAATCAGGCAGCTACTACAATAGGTACGTACGGACATCACGTGGTAAGATTTCATTGACATCACCGGAGATTGCCGGTGAATCGAAACACAGGTAGCCATGTTGATCCTTTCGCTACCTTCCCCTCCATGGCGGCCGAAAGCAGCATCAGCTTGGCACTTCGTACTGCTATTCCAATAAAATTTAATGCTCGGAATGGAGCACCGCAGTCTTTCTAGCTGCTTTTCACTCGTGAGAGTGTAGAAAGAAATCAGACCCCACCATGCAACAATAAAAAGCCCAAATTTTTCTGTTAAAAAAAGGTTATGAATGTGCATGAAGTACGCCTATATATGAAACAGAGAAGATAAGGAATCCAAGAACAGAATTTGGAACAGAACTTGAGACTGATTTCAAGGCTTTTTAATAGAGGAGAAATAGTGGAAGGATTTTTTATTTTCTCTGTTTTTGAGCTGGTTAGAGCTGTGGGAAGTTGAGGGAATGAGATGAGAGCTGGAGCTGCTTGCTTGGCATCTACCTACGCGGCATTGAAGTTGTTTCAGGCGTGATTTCAGGAACATGACCGTAATAATTTTTCCTTTGATTGAGTGCATGCCAGTTCTGTTGAAACTGTTCGACGAAATGACAAGGGTTGGTTTGGTACTTATTTGTTATTATAACCATAGAGGTGCAGTTTATAAAATGATTAAGTAATTGTGTTATTTTAGTTCTTCTAGATAAGACCTCTTTCTTTTCCATATTTTCTCACACTAAATGCTTTTAGATTTGTCTGCTAACTCATTCTATTTTTTATCATATTAGATGGAAATTAGCAGTCTTTCCTCATAATCGTTTCTTTGGCTTTATGAATTTGCAACAAGATAAAGTTGGTGGGGTGAGATAGATTAAAAAGCAATACACTCCCACCTCCTTTCTGTGGACTGGATTAATTATGTCAGGTTTAAAATACACTTTTAAATTAGCTATATATATTATTGTATATCGCATCCAAATATATGTGATCTTCATATTGCTGCTAATACAAGGGTTTGCTGCATTCTTTATGTCCACCTAAGAAAAAGAAAATTCAGAATTTAGAAAAAAAATAAAGCAAATAAATTGAAATAAATAAAAAACCTCTTTGAGATTGGTTTATAGATCAAATAATATTTTACATACATGGTTAAAACCCCAAGTTTAATATTTACCTTGTATTCCCCTCTACCCTAATATGGTAGATCAAATTCTCCCTAACAAAAGGAGTCAGCTTTAATCTTAATCAACCGCTCAAATGTGAGAATCGTAAAGAAAAAAAATTGACTTCCAATATTTTACATACATGGTTAAAACCCCAAGTTTAAAATTTACCTTGTATTCCCCTCTACCCTATTATGGTAGATCAAATTCTCCCTAACAAATGGAGTCAGCTTTAATCTTAATCAACCACCCAATTGTGAGAATCGTAAAGAAAAAAATTTGACTTCAAATCCCTCGACTTATTCTCTAAGCCAATGTTGTGTATAGCTTTAAGTGAGAAGAGAATGTACAGATTCCAAAAACCTTAATGGTGAAAAAGCCGGCCATGAAAAATATTGATATCTAGAGGATCTCTTTCTCGTATACTTAAAGGAGATAATAGTAATGATGCTAGAGAATGAGTTTGACAATGCCTAGGCAATGAGGAGTCCCTTGAAATTAAAGTATGTCTGCTTAAATTTTGGCACATAAGAATTCATAAACCTAACTAAAATTTATTTCAATAAAAATAGAATTCATAATATAAAAAATTACTTGGAAGCTTGGATTTTTTGAGAACTTCCACTGCCAAAATAGTATCTTTAGATGCCTCATCTTTGTAAAGGATACCTAAGCTGATGAACATGAAATAAGATCATGTTGCAAGTAAAAATGTAGAAGGCTTTTGAAAGCCTCCAAGGTCATTTATATACGAGACAAAATACTCATATATTACACTGCTTTTAACATAAATCCAATAACTTTAAAACTCAATTTAAGTTACTATTAATTAAAATATTCGGAACCGTTCTCCTTCATTTGATTAGCCAACGAAACATCTTTATTTCGAGTCATTTCGGGACAAGTATTCATGTAATCTTTTTTCTCTTATAAAATTTCATGGCTCAGAATTATCAATTGTACTCGAAAGTAAGTGAGCATTAGCTAACCCATCGCCAATGCAAAGCCATTCATCTCTTATGCAAAAAGAACCTTAGATTTTTGTGCTTTTGCCTGATTGGTTTGAATCATGTATCTGTAACTTTTTTTTTTTATTATTATTTTTACTTCTCCCATGAAGAAGTATGATTCTGATAAAAAACCAATGGATAGTATAATTGATCCTTTGTGTCTTTTTAAAGTATAGGGAAGTGTTGTCATGATTAATTATGTTTAAATTTAAGTACTTTTTTCGGACCATTTTTATTTTATTTTTTTCTTAAGTTAGGGGCATTTACTTACCTACCACACAAGTCTTATTTATTTACTTATCTAACACCAAAACATTCATATTTACATGCGTGCTATTCAAATCTGTAACATGACATCAAAATTATCATCATTATTATGCTTTAAAAGTAAGCTGCATAGTTTTATTAGTATAATTATCAACCTATATTTGATATTTAAATACATGGGACTTGTGTGGTCTGTACCTAAATTTAAACCATTGCAGTAGTCACCATCCAGGGTCACCTACCTCCACCGAATACTGCATCCTAACAAATTAATGAAGCTGGCAAACGCCAATTCAAATCAAAAATAGAAAAAATATGTCTTATGGGATCATACTGTATAAAACTCTTGCTATATGACTTTGAATTCTATAGTTCCCGGAAGGGGAAATCACTCATTGATGTATTTATTATTTATGCTTTGTCGAGCCAAAACCATGATACAAGTAGTGTCAGTGAGTCATTGTTGTACTGTTTGATTTAAACTATTAGAAGATACACATACATATCGTAATTTTTACATATGCCGCCTTTTTCTATGCATATAGAGGCGTATTTCACTTTTAAAAGTTAAATATTGTGATATTTTTTTTATATGATATGAAAGATTTGGATGGTATACATGTAATAAAATAATTTTCTTATGTTAAGATATATAAATACATAGGAAATGGTTAGTATGTATGTAAATGCCCTTCTCCTGAGTCTAAATTTATCTATATTACTAATTTAATTCAAGATCACTACTATCTTTATAATTACCATCTCTTTACTAGTCATATCAAAATGGCATCTTGATAATGGCTGTCAGGATGATCATATTACTTTGGTCCCATTTAACAATAGCGTATACTAAAGTGAATGATTGTGAGATAAAACTACTTCTATTTTTATCTATAAGATGAAATTATTCGATGAAAATAATTATTATGTAATATGAATTGGTTAAATAAGAAAGAAGTTTGATTGACTATAAGTAAATAACAATTACACTTATCATGAAAAAAAATTAATTAATTGATAAATATTTAGAAATTATGTATTTTTCAATAAAACTATAAATAAATATTACTTAAAAAGTGTGGAATATTTTATATGGTATGCTTTGGTGAAAAATTTAATATGAGTCTTTTGTTACTTAGATAACATTGTCAATGTTTAAATTTTTCTTAAACTTTGTTTATTTGAAAAATACTATGCCCTATAATAATTATAGAGGTAACAAAATAAGTTATTTGGTGAGGATAGGGCAAATCCAACAGATCGCAACAGCTATCCAGATGTAGCTTGCTTCCGAACAACAGAAAAATGGACGTAATATTTTTTTAAAAGTTAAGGCTACATAGTATAGGAAGATTACATACATATCACTAATTCCTATGTATTTGCATATCTATCACTTAAATGTCAATTTTTATATACATATTATTTTATCCATGCATAAACAATTTACTTCAGTTTTTAAAAATTAAAATGATGACATTTTTGCTGTGAAATGAAAGATTTTGATTGTTATAAATGTGAAAGGTAAATTTATATGTTAGCTATGTAATTACATTGGAGCTAAATCACAATTTCTTAATAGCATTTTTTGCTGCTGCCAAAATCCTTTTTTTTCGATAAGGTGACATATATGTAAAAATTGAGTTTGCCGGAACCTTTTTTTGTTTCTTATTATTAGCTCGAGTTTCAACGAAGTAATCAATTAATCTTTAAAAATTGCACTTCCAACCCTTCTAATCAAAAACACCTCTTCATTAATGTTAGATATGACTCATATGCCATAGAGGGACAAGACAGATTCTAGAGCGGAGCAGAGCAGAGCGGAATTTATGTCCAAATCAGGAGAGTTTCCTTATATGGGTTGAGGGTGAGGTAAATGGGTAATTTGGTAATTACATATTATACTCCAAGATTTTCTAGGGTTGGTAAATGGGTAATTTGGTAATTACATATTGTACTCCAAGATTTTCTAGGGTCATAAATAACACTGTATGTAACCCTAAGTGTTATCCCATATTCTGCATTTTGTAATCTCTTTTCTAAATATTGAAAGGAATTCGCCGCTCTGCTCCTGAGATTGTAGACATCTTTGCCAAACCTCGTAAATCTCTGTGTGTTCTTCTGGATTTATGTCGATTCCTATTTTTCTTCGCCCTAATTTCCCAACAATTAACAATCAACTAATAAAATTGAGTGAAAATTCCATGCCACCAATGTAAAGGCAATGAGAATTTGCTTCTAAATCAGAGAGAAAAAAAAAAAGTTAAAGTGCATCTTCAACAAAACACGATTTCATGATCTGATTGTCAGCGTTAAATGAATACCAAATCAAACAATATTAAACATAATTTATAACAAAGAGAAATAACTTGCAAAAGAACAAGCGCAATAGACAAGCGACATCAATTGCTTTACAGCTAAAAATATTTATACGGTCTGCAGAAAAATAAAATTAAAATTTATAATATGAAGAAACAAATTTTTATTGTAAATTTATATATCGCTATTTTTGGAGAATCATATGCCATTTTAGAGTTTTGTGAGTATTTTAAATTTATGAGACTTGCCATATTGTCTCTGTGTATGTGTGTGTTTTTTTCCAAATAAAACACAGAATAAAGGTGAGTATGAACTTTATCAAATATTGTCAGCTATGGGAAAAATAATCACTTAGGATTCTTTGCCTTGGCGCCTAAGAGCTAGAAATAAGCACAGCGGTGCTCCAATGAACTTTATCAAATTTTCTTCATTTTATTCACAGAGACTATCCTACATAAAACATACATAATTATGCATAAATTGTATAAAAAAATATTATTTATAATTATTTATATATTTTTCTCACTTAACAGTTACAAATGCTAGGTAAATATTTTCATTATGCTCTTTGTTATTGGCTCTTGATTAGCTGCAACTTATTCTTATTCTGTTTTATATGGATAGTCCCTTTCTTCCCCTATTGGAACCTTATGTTGACATCATAATAACTTTAATCAGATATTTATATTACAATATTGATATTTAAAAACATTGGATAAATATGTAATTTACAATTTTAGATATAGTTCATTGTGATTAGCTACTTACATGATCATTTGAATTTGCATGATTAGTACATAACTTCTTCAAGTTATGTGATATATTAATAATAACATCCACAAATTTCTTTGATGAATATCTTTGAAAAAAATAATAAAATATTTTTGTTGAATT